TATGCCTTTGGTCTTCTATACCCATCTCTCCTATGCCCTCTGCTTAGTAACCACTTTCCTCCCACCCCTCAATTATGGGTAGAGGGAGTTCACCGGAGGCTTCTTTCTTATGTAATTCCACAAACGAATCCTGGGCTCGATAATCCACTGCAGCAGCCACACAGAACTTACAGATAATACTTAATGGGGTTTCTTAAGGAAGTTAACAGGTTATAAGTTGGCAACAGAAATGTTAAGGATACAGTTCTTTTATCAGCACTTCTTAGCCATGGCAGTAGGCACATCTCTCTGCATGAAGCCCCATGGCCTCTGCCTTGCTTGGGCAGGTATTACAAAGCTCCTTTAGCATTGATAAACAGAGGACACCCTATTCTGCTGCTGGTCAGTCTCTTGCCCAAAGGTACTCAACTTCACTTGTTCCATGAGGCAGGAATTCCACTGCTCTGTCTCATGGTCTCTTTACTGCTTTTCTGTGCAGGGATATTTGATGTGCTCCATTCCTGGCTCTTCCTTCTTGGTGGTTGTGGGATAGTCTCCCTTCCTGCCTCGAGATCGCACATTTTATAACCAGTAGAATAACAAAACTGACCGAGCCCCCTCATTAAGAGTCCTCTATGCTTCATTTGCATGTTTTCTCCCAGTTAGTGAGCGTTACAAAGACAAGTAGATCGAAGAGCCCGACTGAGGAATTTCATTGCATGGAACCCTATGTCTGAGAGCTCTCGTGGTTTAGTGGGCTACATGAGCTGGGCTGCTAACCACAAGGTCAGCAGTTCAAAACCACTAGTTTCTCTGCAGAGACAGATGAGGCATTCTCCTCCCATAAAGATTTACCATCTCGGACCACGGGGCAGTTCTACTCTGTCCTACAGTGTTGCTGTGAGTCAGAATGGTCTCCATGGCAGAGTTTGAGGTTTTCTTAGTACCCTAGGTCTACCGATTACACACTGGGTCTGTCTATTACTTACATTTAGACCTCTCAGCTAACAATGAGAGGAGAAAGACCAAAGTTCATTCCTCCCCAGAGAGTTTGAGTTATACTCATCAGATCTGGAACTGATGGCAGAAGACAAAGCTGCTACTTTGTCAACCTCGACCACTGTGATAAGAATGTGTCTGCTCTCATTTCTTCAGGCCTTTCCAGAGATTAGACATAGTACAAGGTAACCGTGGAGACTAATTTAGTAGCAAATACTTTATTAACATTGTTCCCTAGCTAGATTGCAGTAGAACAAATGTTTAATTTGAAGAAGCCATTTACCATAAAATGCCAGGAAATGAGAACCATCTTGTTGGGGCTGCCTGCTGCACTTACTGCCAAAGGAGTACTCCTCGTTCAGACGAAGAATGACAGCTTAGGTAGGCTTCGTTTTGGCATGTGCACTTTGATTCACCGCCATCCGTCAAGGCTTCCCATCCTTTTCACATTCGGCACTTCTGGAACTCGGTGGAAGTATGTGGCTGGAAGTGACCAGCCCAAGGATTGGCGTCCGGAGAGCGGTTTCTTGGCATTCTGCATGAAAGTGTTGTGTGCTCATCTGCAGACATGGGTTAAAGACGCAGGTGCCTTGGGCAGATGGCAGGCTCTGGCCAGGGCAGTGAATGCTACACCATAGCACCAGGAGTCAAAACTCTTAAAACAAAACCAAATCCTCTTTTCGAGGGACAATCCTGATTTCTTCCTTTATTTCTCCTGAAGGTCGGGCTGTTGTTGGTCCTCACCTAATCAGTTGTGTGCCTTCTTTCCGGAGCAAGTCAGGGCATGGTTGTTGTGTGTGCTGTGCAAATGTGCTTTTAACATCTTAAAGTGATGGCATGAATTGATACTTTTAAAAACACTTGAGTCTAAGCTCATCGACAATGACCAGAGCTCAGACACACTAGAAGGTTCCTGGAAGTGGGAACACCCTCCACTGAGGTGATCCGTTGAAGGATTTGCACACAGTCTCGACTGAGTAGGGGCCATACTGGAGGGCTAGGGAAACACAGGATTCTGTGTTTCTACTCTGCTCTTTGCGATCTTCCTTGGCCACCCTGATAAATGTTCAGGGAAAATAGGAATGCATTATATTTTTTTCTAAATGTTAAAAAATAGAAAAGCCAGCAGCCATCTGTGTGATTCCTACTCATGGTGAACCCCGTGTATGTCGGAGTACAATTGTGCTCCAGAGGGTTTTCAATGGCTGATTTTTTGGAAGCTGATCACCAGGCCTTTCTTCCACTGGTACTTCTGGGTGGACTTGAATCACCAACCTGCAGCTATATGCCAGGCGAAATACTATTGCCCCATTAACCTAAGCTTCTGCTGAAAATCAGTGGACTCAGGGACGCATTGTAATATGGCTGCCAATCTGATAGTAGCATGACCACCTTTTTCCTTGTCCACTCAGCTGATCCAACTCCGCCCTGTGGGTGAAGTGAAGTCTAGCCACTGTGAGTCTGCAAGAGAGGGTACAGCTACCTACATGGAGGGTACCATCGATGAGGGCATGCCGTTGGTCCTGCTTCTAAGGAGACCAGCTGGCAGTATGGTAACACAACACAACCCCAATGTGTTGCTTTTAGGCTGATCTTTAAGGAGTCAAACAAAAGTCCTTCCCAAATCAAGTCTGCTTGGGAGCTAATAGCCTAAAAATGGGATTTTATTTTTCTTGCTCACATGATTTGTCTCCCAGGTTTGTAGAGAGGGCCAGTTTCTTTCTCTATTCTGACTTCTCTCATTTGAGGCTTTATGCCAAAACAACAGCAGGTTTTCCCTAGACCTGTTACCTCAGTGAAAAGCAGGAGAATATAACACAGAGAAAACAAAAGTGTTCTAAGTGTTCACCTCTGTGTTCTCGGCACAATTCTGTCTCTCCAGGGCAGGGAAAGAGACAGACGAGCCGGGTTTACATGAGTCTCCCAATGACACCCCACCTTGTACTGGACATGCCCACAGTTTTGGGAGAAAGGCTGAGCCTTAGCACTTCTCTCACGGTGGGTGGTGCCTTGGAGGTGTGCTGGGCTCCTCCTCGGGCCTGGGATGGCCCAGCACAGGCCTGGGGTGGAGGTAGAGGTGCTGCTGTTGTTTCCCAGGCCGTAAGAAACAGATGAGTGGCAAGGATCCGCCTGAGGCGGCCCTTTACTGTGTGGTGACAAGCTTGACGATCATGCTGATGATCCGGGACCCCCGAGGGCAGGTACACAGATCGATGCTCGGATTTTTTATTTTATCCTGAAGGAGCTGGTCAAGCTCGCCACGAAGTTCCTTTACTAACTCAGCCACCTGAAAAGAAGGCCAGAATATCAGCAGTACGCAGGGCAACAGACGAGGAAAGGGTATTAGAGAAACGTTGACCAGATGTAGCTTCTGATTATCTGAGATTTCTGGCGAGGAGCCCTGGTGGCGCCGTGGCTCACACGCTGGGCTGTTAATCTCAAGGTCAGCAGTTAGAAGCCACCAGCTGCTCGATAGGAGGAAGATGGGGCTTTCTGCTGTTAAACTGTTTCAGAAGCCCACTGAGGCAGTTCTACCCTACAGGGTCGCCATGAGTTGGAATCGGTTCAATGGCAGTGCGTTTGAGTTCGCGCTCAAGGGTACTCATTTTAGTTGTCAGTCTGAAAGTGCACCTGCCGCCCCATAATGCAACTCTGGGAAGGCTCATGCACTGCAGATCTGTACTATGCTAACCAGGGCACACGGTAAGTCGATCTCGTCTGGCAATCTCACGGAAAGGATGAACCCTGGAAAAGCAGCTTTTTAATTGTGCTTTCCCTAGAGCCTGGTCAACCTTTACTATCTGCCCTGAGAGAGACGCAGGGCAGAGGCACAGTAAAAGTGGTGGCGTGGCTATTACACAAACTAACAACACCTTTCTTTGACACGGGGCTGCGTTTTGTGTCTTTGGTGGGGCAGCAGCTCTGTGCTTTTAATGGCATTTCGCTTATGTGATGCTGTAATGGGCGGTGGCTGCCTGTCCCTCTTCAGATGTGCGCCAGCCATGCAATTAGACCCGGAGGATCTAATTCAAACAAGCTCTCACCAGGGTGAACAGCATGTGCGGCCTGCACTAGCTTTCTCTGTTCCATGACAATCTCACAGCGAAGCAGGCAGTGGTGTTGCTGTTAGTGTCAGGGCTGCCACTGAGTCCACTCCAATACAGTCCCTCTCAGGGTGAGCTTCTGTCTCTTGGACCCTAAGTATGCTCGCGGATGCAAACGTCACAACAGACTTTGATTTCCTCAATGGAGCCCCAACTTCCTAACCCATTGCTGTCAGGTTGATCGCAACTCGCAGTGATCGTTCCAGGCGCAGTGGGCCGTGGTCTTTATAGAAGCAGCCTGCCGCATGCTTTTCCTGGGGTGCGGCCGGGGTGAATGAACTTTCTGGGCAACAGCCTGGTGCTGCAAACACTCTGTCAAAGGGCCCCTGTCTTCAATGCACGCTCCCTCTTAGATATTGCTCATAGAAACGCCATGCTACGGAGTGAATAATGGAGATGTGAGCATAGGAAACTGAGCAGTGGGATCAGGGTGATTTCTAGTTACTTACTTTCCCGCTTTGGTATTTTCAGACTGTTCTTCGGTGAGCGTGTATGATTTGTGTGACGTTAACCTCACAGTTTCCAGCTGGAACCTTTCACAGTAACCTAACGAACACCCTGGTGTCCTCCGCCCAGTGTGTTTCCAGTCCCGGGGCCTCACTTCAGACCCACTTTCTTCTCTCTCATCAATCTTAATTAGCTCTGTGGCCCTGGACACCTAAAGGAATGTCCTAGACTTCCCATCACCACAGCCCACTGTGGCCTGCGTCTCACACAGATTATCTCCTTACCTGATGGGAGGCAGCAGCAAAACAGATCCAGCCCTCATCCAAGGAGACCACGAACTCTCCCCTTTGACGCTGCACGTTCACTTGGCCTCCTCCGAACAGGACCAGGGGGTACACGGACACCATGCTGCAGTCCCGGATGAACACCCGGCTAGTCTTGATCTTCTCATGGTACACCAGGTACGGACTTTCAAAGTGTCTGACCTGTAACACAAAGCCGAAGTGACCACCGGCACTGGGTGACAATGGCAACAGCACCCCCTGGCCTCGGGGACATACACCCTGCACATTAGAGACCCACAGGGCGCCCGCTCCAGCTTCTTCCTCGCCCCGGAGCTCCAGACGCCAACACCCTCCTGGAAACCTTGACTCGGACGTGTACTGCGTATGTCACCCTTCTCAGGCTCAACAGAAAGCCTCGGTTTCCCCCTCTCCTCGGCGTTTACCATCCACTGAGCACCCGCCCACAGGTCCTTCTGGTTTGCTCCTTTCCCCGCACTTCATTAGGTCATCACTGAGTGCCACCAGCTTCATTTGGAACAGACATGATAGAAAAGGCATACGAGGGGCTTCAAAGTTTGTGGAGAAACAGAAGTAAAATACCATGGAATTTTCTCAAACGTCTGAGGCCTCTAGGGTGACTGGCACACACCATCACCACTGCACAGATGTGCTCAATGGTGCTGAAGTGTGTGCTCTCCTTCGGATTTGGCACCTTTAGTTAGTTCTTTTAAACACAAATCCAACTATGACTCAAAATCCTCTGGTAACCTCTCACAAGTAAAACCTAAAATTTGGACTGTGGCCACCAACGCCCCACCCACCCTGAAGCCCTGCCTGCATCTCTTCCTCCCTTAGGGCTAGTCCCCTGTCCCACTGCCGCCTGAGCAGCTCCTTGCACTTCCTGGAGTGTGCGCAGTATGCTCCCACCTCGCTGTTTCCTCTGCTGAAATCGCCTTTCCCGAGATGGTCCATTCCTTGCTCCTTGACTTCATGTTAAGGCCCACTGAATTGTCTTCTCTCCAGCGGTTTCCTCCCGGACTGGCCCCTCTCTCATCACTCTATCCTCCCACGTTGCTGCATGGTTTTTTGCAGTTCTCACCAACCTGGGTTTATTTGTGGCCTGTCTTCCCCACCAGAATGTTAAGCCCCTTGATGGTGGCGATCTTGTTTGTCCAGTTAATTCATAATCTTCGGTGGCCCTACAATAGCGCCTGGCACAGAGAAAGCGCTAGTATTGAGTGGACACAGGAATGATTTGCATTCGGCCACAGTAAACTCTCGAGGAATGGAGCTAACGCAGGCTTCGGGTTCCTCAGGGTACTGACAGCTGGGAGAGGGATAAGGAGCTTGGCCCGCAAACTCCCCTGAGCTTGTGGAGACCCCTTTCCTGCGCTGCTGACCCCAGGGGGCCCCCCAGCCCTAACCCTTCACACTCTTCCTCTCTTTCCCTTCCCACTGATGACTGTATGGAGCACCTGCTTTCAGGCCGGCACTAAGAATGTAAAACCGAATGAAGTTCAATTCTTGTCGCTTGGGTTTTCACACTCGTATGCGGTCCACAGATCATAAACCATGAAAGAAAGTGCTAAGTGCAATGATGGACAAACGCATTCCAGAGTATGGCAGTGCAGTAGAGGAACAGCCCGGAGTGAGGAGACCTGGAGAAAGTGGTTTCTAATGGAAGCCTGAAGAAGCTGAAGAAGTAAGAGCTTCCTAGGGAACGAGACTTTCATTTTGGGCAGAGAACAGCATGTCCAATGGTATAACACAGGGGTCCTCAAACTTTTAAACAGGGGCCAGTTCGCTGTCCCTCAGACCGTTGGAGGGCCGGACTATAGTTAAACAAAAAAACTATAAACAAATTCCTATGCACACTGCACATTTTTTTTTAAGGGTGGAGGCAGACCCAGTCATGGACATCGTAGCCTGCTGGGTCTCTTTGCTTTATTAGTTTCCAGCCGATCAGTTCAGAAAGTTGGAGAGGGTGAGGTGGAAGAGGGTGAGGCCGCCACCAGGAGCTCTGGACGTCCTCTCCTGGAGCAGGCTTGGCAGGTACAGACTGTGGGACAAGACCTCCCAGGCCCCACTGGGGACTGGTAGGAAGACCAGGGATCAGTGGCTGCTCTCCCACACAGATGGAGACCTGGGACTCAGGGGTTGTGCCATGGGCCTGCATGCCCCAGCAGGTCACA